TGAGATAGGAGAACCACTGGAACCCAGGAGGCAGAGGTGGTGAGCGAAGATCATGCCATTGCACTCCAGCCTGGGCGAAAGAGCAAGACTTCGTCTCAAAAAAAAAAAAGAGAGAGAGAGAGAGAGAGAAATGAATCTTAAGTAAAAAGCAGAAGTCAGGGTCAAATCACTCTATCAAAGCCCAATACAGTGGAAGGCATTTCAAGGTGCAAAACAAAGGAGAGGCGAGTCTGATCAAATTCCAAATTATTTCCAGGAGGAATAGGGACCTCACAGCATAAACTTTACATTTTGTATGTGCTAAAAGGTTTAGAAAACGAGGTTAGTAGTAATGGAAATGTTCTCTCCTGCTGATTCCCACTGTTCTTCGTACCTCACTTTCCCCTCCAACCCAAACCCCACATCCTCCCTGGCTCACTAGGGATCGTGAATAAAAGAAAATGAATTTGAAGAATCCACAAGTGTACTCTATTTGCTTGCCTCGGCAGCAACCCTCAGGTGATTAAAGAAATGTGCATATGAATCACCTGGTGATCTTGTTAAAATGCAGATTCTGGTTAAATAGGTCTTGGAGTAAGGCCTGCATTCTGCTTTTCTAACCCGGAGCGTTGAGTTCTGATAACGTCACTCAGACTCTTCAGCTTTTTTTTTTTAAATTTTTGAGACGGAGTTCACTCGTTACCCAGGCTGGAGTGCAATGGCGCTGCAACCTCTGCCTCCTGGGTTCAAGCAATTCTTCTACCTCAGCCTCCCGAGTAGCTGGGACTACAGGCTGCACCACCATGCCCAGCTAATTTTTGCATTTTTAGTAGAGCCGGGGTTTCACCATGTTGACCAGGATGGTCTGGATCTCTTGACCTCGTGATCCACCCGCCTCAGCCTCCCAAAGTGCTGGGATTACAGGTGTGAGCCACCGCGCCCGGCCTCTTCAGCATTTCTTGAAATGTCGGTGCAGTCCTTAGAATTCAAGGTATCCTCACAAAAGCGGGGCCGTAAACTCTAAAGTGGTACTCCTTCCCAGACCTCAGAGGACTCTCAGCTGGAGACTCTCTTGACAGAACAGAATCTGCCTAAGTAGAACAGGCACTCAAGTTAGGGCAGGCAGGCAACCGGTTGTATAGACTCTTACCTTGAACAACAACGAAAAAAGACAGGAGCGGCAGGCGCGGTGGCTCACACCTACAGTCCGAGCACTTTGGGGGCTGAGGCTGGCAGATCACGAGGTCAGAAATTCAACCTAGCCAACATGGCGAACCCCGTCTCTAAAAATACAAAAAAAATTAGCTGGGCGTGGTGACAGGCACCTGTAATCCCGCTTCTCGGGAGGCTGAGGCAGGAGAATCATTTGAACCTAGGAGACAGAGGTTGCAGTGAGCCGAGATCACCCCGTTGCACTCCAGCCTGGGTGACAGTGTGAAACTCCATCTCCTAAATAAATAATAAGAAAAGAAAAAAGAACTGTAAGAGACCTAACAAACGTAAGTGATAACCTCTGAGTACAGACCAGACCCGGATTGTCTTAAAACCAAGTTTCTCTCCATTTGAACCTAGGTGAACAATTGGCTGGCAGTAGGGCCTATTGGATGGAAGTCAGGGAGACGGCGGGTGAGTCATCAGGAAAGGCAAAACTAGACTGATCCAGCACAGAACGAGGGTGGAGCAGGGGTCAGTGGGGGCCTTCTCCTTTTCTCTGGCTACAGGTACTTTCCTGGCTCTGCTAAAGTGAAAGAGAGCCAAGTGAGTGAGCTGTAAAACCGGCTAAGGCTAAGGACATGAATTTTGCTGGAAGGGCCAGAGGAGGGGTTGAGCAAGCTTCGTGGATGCTGCTTCTACCCACGATCTGGCTGGAGACAAGAGAAGGGCAGAACTCACTTTTTCTTTTTCTTTGTTTCTTGAAAACCTGCTAAATCCCAGCAGCTGGGCGATATGTTATCTTCTATCACCCAGCAGCAGATTCAGGTTGAGGTTGAGTTGAGAATATAATTAAGAACCCCCATGATTTGCGGCCGGGCATGGTGGCTCATTCCTGTAATCCCAGCTACTTAGGAGGCTGAGGCAAGAGGATCAGTTGATTCCAGGAATTGGAGAGCAGCCTGGGCAACATGGTGAGACCCCTCAGCTCTTAAAGAAATAAAATAAAAAAGACTGGGCACCATGGCTCACACCTGTAATCTCAGCATTTACAATGGCCAAGGCAGGAGGATTGCTTGAGCTCAAGAGTTGGAGACCAGCCTGGGCAAGACAGTGAGACCTCATCTCTACTAACAAACAAACAACAACAACAACAAAACATGAGTGCTGGTACATTCCTGTAGTCCCAGCTACTTGGGAGGCTGAGATGGGAGGCTCACAGGCCAGGAGATCGAGGCTGCAGTGAGCTATGACTGTGCCATTGCACTCCAGCCTGGACAACAGAGCGAGACCCTATCTCAAAAGAGATAAGAGAGAAGAGAGAGAGAGAGACAGAGAAAAGAGAGAGAGACAGAGACAAAGACAGAGAAGAGAGAGACAGAGACAGAGAGAAGAGAGAGACAGAGAGAACACACTCCCAGGATTTGGGTATCATCACCCATTGGCTAGGAAGATTGAACAACATTAGATTTAAGCCCACCTGCCCTCTGCCCCTGCACTTCTCAATCCCAGGCAGGAAAGGCAATGAGCAAGATCAAGACTGCTCAGATGATCTAGGATACCCTGCTGGGCAATGTCATGGGAGAATGCCAATGTGGGTCAGTTCCTGGTGTCTTGTAGCAAGATAGTCTCTTGGATAAAATTTTTAAAAGTGCTCTTGGCAAGATAAAGGTAGGGGGCTATGAAAAATGTACTCAAGTGTGGTTAAATTGTAACAATCAGCCAGGCATGGTGGCTCACACCTGTAATCCCAGCACTTTGGGAGGCCAAGGAAGGCCGATTACTCGGGAGTTCGAGACCAGTCTGGGCAACATGGCAAAACCCAGTCTCTACACACAAAAAAAAGAATTAGCTAGACTTGGTTGGATGCAACTGTGGTCTCATTTACTTGGGAGGCTGAGATGGGAGAATCACCGAAGCCCAGGAGGTGAAGGTTGCAGTGAGCCGAGATCACAACACTGCATGCCAGCCTGGGTGAGAGAGTGAGGCCCTGTCTCAAACAAATAAACAAAAAGAATCATTTTCTACTGGCAATAAAAATACATGCTACCTCATAATCTCGGCAGACCAGCTTCCTCTTTTCAGAAGCTGGACAGAACTGGTGGTAGAAGCCTCATGAGTCACCCCACTTAGGCCAGCTACCATTTCATGTCGCTAATGCCCCCTTGAATCTGTTAACACTTTTTTTTTTTCCCTAAAAACTTTCTTAGTAGATGTGGAAAAAAAAGTCTGCGGGGACGAAGGGGCCTGGGGGATAAAGGCTACTGTCAAATTGATTAAGTGAACGTTCATTAGAGAAAGTAACAAGAGGTAAAATCTGCATATGCATTGCAGAAATGTGTCTGATGTTGCTTAAGTTGTAAAAGACAAAAAGAGCTGAAAACCTCCCTGGCTGGAAGTACTTGAGGGAGAACTGGGGGAGGGGAAAGTTCTCTAACAGTACTATCCTTCATTGTAAACACATGCTAGAGCAGCCGCAGACTCCAACACTCTGGTACAAACTTTGTTTTCTAAGAATTTGTAGTACAATTATTAAAAAAAAAAAATTAACCTGACTGTTCTTAGAATGCACTAGCCACTTCCTCAATTTCTTTTAATGTAAGGGGTGTGTGTCTTTAGATGGAGTCTCTCTCTGGTTGCCCTGGCTGAAGTGTAGTGGCACAATCTTGGCTCACTGAAGCCTCCACCTCCCAGGTTGGAGCGATTCTCGTGCCTCAGCCTCCCAAGTAGCTGGGATTACAGGCTTGCCAGAGGTACATAAAGACTTAAAGCAGTCAATTTTGTGTCACTGGAGCATAAGTTTTGTTATTGTGCAGTGTAGAAAAGAATTTTTTCTTCCCCAGTTTTTTTTTTTTTTTTTTGAGACGGAGTTTCGCTCTTGTTACCCAGACTGGAGTGCAATGGCACGATCTCAGCTCACCACAACCTCCGCCTTCTGTGTTCAATCAATTCTCCTGCCTCAGCCTCCTGAGTAGCTGGGATTACAGGCGCGCACCACCATGCCCAGCTAATTTTTGTATTTTTAGTAGAGATGGGGTTTCTCCTTGTTGACCAGGATGGTCTCGATCTCTTGACCTCGTGATCCACCCGCCTCGGCCTCCCAAAGTGCTGGGATTATAGGCGTGAGCCACCACGCCTGACCTCTTCCCCAGTTTTAAAAGATAAACAAGACTTCCGTCAACGATTTGTGTGTGGGGTGGGTGGCGGGGGGGGGGGGGGGTTGTTGGAGGTGGGCAGGAGCAACCCTCACCAAAGTCTTCTAGCTTTTTAGCCCAAACAAATAAATCTAGAATGAGGATCCAGATTCCAGGTAACAGTGTTGTTTTGGAGCAGATAAGGGTTCCTCTGCTTCTTATGAAATGGTCAGCTTGGTAGTGTAATTCCAGTGGTTAAACTGGTTACTTGGATAACCCTTTTAAAAGGACAGTAGTATTTCCAGTTGTCCTCATCTATGAGAGTGGCCTAATATTACAGCCCTAGGATAACCCTGATGATTTTTTGTTAATATGTATTTTTAAGGACAAATGTTTCAAAAATAATGGCAAGTGTGAAAGTCCTGTTAATGTCCACACTCATGCATTCTTGTGATTAACATTCAACTTTTTTCACTAATACCTCTAACTTGCCTCATGAAACCTGACCAGAAAATTTCTTTCTTTCTTTCTTTCTTTCTTTTTTGAGACGGAGTTTCGCTGTTGTTACCCAGGCTGGAGTGCAATGGCACGATCTCATCTCACCGCAACCTCCGCCTCCTGGGTTCAGGCAATTCTCCTGCCTCAGCCTCCTGAGTAGCTGGGATTACAGGCACACGCCACCATGCCCAGCTAATTTTTTTTTTTTTTTTTTTTTTTTTTTTTTTGTATTTTTAGTAGAGACGGGGTTTCACCATGTTGACCAGGATGGTCTCGATCTCTTGACCTCGTGATCCACCCTCCTCGGCCTCCCAAAGTGCTGGGATTACAGGCTTGAGCCACCGTGCCCAGCCTTCAGAAAATTTCTTAATGAAAGAGATGACGATGTTGGCCTTCACCTCCAGAATGAAGATACTTCAGGACTTAGTCTGAAAGGTAAGACAGACAATGACATCAAATATACCCCAGTTGGCAGAAACCCTTAATTTTGTAAAGTTAAAAATAGGAAAGACACAGACTTGACATTTCTTAGGTTTAGAAGGAAGACAGCATGGATATTTGAGGTGTGAACCAAATTGTCTTGAAGATTTGAAAAGAAATGAATAAAAATCATAATTTTGTGCCAGAGGATATTCTTTGAAATATCTGCAGACTGGGGACAAAGCAGTTCTTCTCCTATATGGGGTTGTCTGAGCTGCTTTGCACCATTATGTGCTTCAGATATCCTTGTAATTACAAATTTAAGACTTAAATTCTCAGTCCGTCTTTATATTTCTAAACTACCCCCATAGGTATATTTACTTCTTTCTTTTGTCAAGCTTAAACATTTCCAATTACCTCAGCCTCTAAAGGGAAACGTGATGGTTAAATTCCTGCACTAGTAATGACATTTATTAATCTAGTTCTGGTGAGAACTGTTGAACCTCTTGCCTTCCCAAATCATACATTTTAATTCAGAACACACCTCCAAAGAACATTGACATTGTTTAATTAAGATAACGGTGCACATTAATAAGAAAGGATATCATTTTGTTATTTATATGTAATTCTATTTTGTTAAAAAAAAAATGAACAGAGACTGGTAAGTTCCATAATTGCCCTCCATGGTGAAGAAATAAGTGTAGGAGAGAAGAAAAGCACAGTAAGACACAGATGTTAGTAAAACACTCCTTAATACCATACAAGCTGCAGAAAATGCTACTTTGCATTTGGTCCTCAACATGGCTAACTGCAAGCCATTGAGTAAAAAGTGCACCTTTAAACTAATTCCTTGGTCAGAAGACAGAGTCACATCTAGAAGCCTCCTCATTAATATGCTATAATGGTCAAATAAGAGATAAATAGCAAAGTCACCTGCTAAAGCAACTAGGAACCTGTTGATTAACAATAAGCCTCCAAAAAAATAAGATACCAGATTGCAAAGCAAAACCAAGTCCCAGGGCAACAAGTGCTTCTGTAATTTATTCCTTCTTTATATGAGGGCATAAAGCTCCCTTTATAAATGTGTTTTCCAGGCCCTGCTGTGAGCTGTAGGTGTGAGCTTTTCAGCTGATTTATTAATTTTAGTTTCAATCAACGTGTCACCTGCAGACACAAAAATGTAGGCCTCACCACAGAAAATACAATTTAAGAAAAAAAAAAAAAAGAAAAAAAATGGGGCTTTAATACAAAAACTCTGCCAGGATTTTTTTTTTTTTTTTTAAGATGAACACTGGAACGCCTATTCTTCAAGATCTAAAATAATTCCCAGCAATGTAATTAAAAAAATCAAAATTAAACATTTTTGTCATACTTCGAAAGTCAGTCTTAGACCCAGGGAAGAGTAACATGAGGCTGCCAAAACAATCAGCTACTCTTGTCGGTAGGGGTACATTCTCCCCAAAGAATCGAATGAACAACAAGTCCCCTGGGCAAAATGTGCAAAAAATTCTCAATTAGTTGTCTTTATTTAGTGAGCACTATGGGGTCCTCAACCACGCTATAGAATTATGGCAAGAAAGCTGAGCTCTTCACTAGCTTATTAGCATTCTCAGAGGGTTGGAGTGCTGCTGATAGCAGGCTGTTGCCTCCAAGAGCTGTTGGTGGGACCCCTACACTCCCGGGCTTTGTCCTTTTGTCCTTCTAAGCCAGCAGGAAGTACTGCCCCATGTTCAGGGCATTCTGGGATACCTTCATTCCATTCACAGTTTGCATTACCGACAGGGGCCGAAGTCTTTGTTATTGACTATGACCATCACTGTTGCAGGTTTCAATGAAAGGCAAAAGCAATCTGTATCAGTCAATTCTAAATGAAGGTTTAGGAAGTAGCCCCCTTCCAAATGAACATCCTTGTAGGGCTGGAGTGGCCTTACGTGGCCAAAGCCCTATAGGAAATCAAGGTCTCGGCTTATAATCTGGCTGCTGCATTCTTTTCATCCTAAAACTACAGTGTTAGGCAAGGGAACCAAAATGGAAGTGGGCTAATGCATATTCCACACTGTCGCCTCAGCATCTGCATTTTTACAGCACTCCCTTGCCCACTGAGCTCCCCCAACACCCTCCTTCCCACACAAACCCTCCTCCTTACTACCCCTTTCCCAGAAAAAGAAAAGAAAACCAGAAAGATGAAAAAAAACTGGCAGCAACTATTAGATATGCCTTTTCTAAAGAAGAGGGTATTTGCTGCTTTAGGGAAAACACTATCATTGACCAAATTAACAAGTTGTCTTATCAACTGCCATAAGCCTTGGAGTCTAATTAATTTAGTACTGATCAATAGTCCTGAATGAGACATTGATTTCTGCCTGCTTGACAGGGCTGCAGCTGAAATCACTTTCTCTGTACGCCACACACCACACACACACACACACACACACACACGCGCGCGCGCGCGCGCACACGGACACCCGAAGCTTATGCGTTATCACATTAAGATTTTATTTCCCTGATCCCATATGAACATGAATTTCATGAACCAGCTATAAATGAGGAAATGGGATGAAAAACAACTTTGGAAGTAAGAACAGTTTCACTAGAAAGTGCAAACAGAGCTCAAACACTCCCTGCCAAAGTTCTGCTTTCTTCAAAAATGTCCTCTGAGTGAGATAAAACATTTAAAAAGAAAGAAGCTGAAGGGCTTTGCTTAACATACACAGTAGATGCTCTAATTGGTCACGAAACACATAAACAGGGATTGGATTATCCAAAGAGTAATATTCTTCTGTCTCTTGTTTTTAAATGCTGATGATACTTTATCAAAAATATTCTGATCAAAGAAACAAAAACAATAAGGCTATCTGGCGAAGGGCAGAAGCAGATGGGGAGGCTTTGATAAGAATGAAACCACGTGAAAGATCTACCCCAGATTTGTCTTTCACCGCTGCAACTGGTGAGCTCAGGGTTGGGGTAGAATGAGGACTTTCCATTCTTCCCACTCCCATTCCCCCCTCCAAAATCATTGGCGATAGTATTGGGACAGTACTGGTTGGAAATAATTTAAGCATTTGACTTTTTAACTTTTATCTGGGCTAACGAGATATTTATTCTATTAAGATACATATCCCAAAAAAGGGCTAGGTTTTCATCAATGTTTTCACATTTTCCTAGGACACAACCTTGCGTTTTCTTTCGGGTTCCTCCTTGTTTTGGCAGCTGTTCATTTCATTGTGCAAGCCCTGGGACTTTCCCCTTAGCCCACGCCACCAGACAATTTTTTTCTCCCATTCATAAACATGAATTGAAATAAGGACAGCAAAACTTTTCAAATATTTAAAAAATGATGCTTCAATTTCAAACAGGGAAGGAAGATAACTCAAGAACTTATCTATCTCAGAACGATTCTCTCTTCGGTAAACATCACCATAAATGGAAAAGGAAGATAAGAGAACTGAAAACATGAACTGCCTTTTTTTTTTTTTTTTTTTTTTTCTTTTTTTTTTTTCGAGACAGAGTCTTACTCTGTCGCCCAGGCTGGAATGCGGTGGCGCGGTCTTGGGTCACTGCAACCTCCACTTCCCGGGTTCAAGCAGTTCTCTGCCTCAGCCTCCCGAGTAGCTGGGATTGCAGGTGCCCACCACCATGCCCCGCTAATTTTTGTATTTTTAGTAGAGACAGGGTTTCAACATCTTAGCCAGGCTAATCTTGAACTCCTGACCTCGTGATCCATCTGCCTTGGCTTCCCAAATTGCTGGGATTACAGGTGTGAGCCACTGCACCCGGCCTGAACTGCCTTCTTTTACAGGGTTGGAGAAACCATCTAAAATGATCGAAACAAAACAAAAAATTCATATTCTTTCCTGAGCATTTATTTAATACCATTTAGCTTTTTAAAGATTACACACAGACACACACACACACACACACACACACACACACACATATATAAATATATTTGAAAGTCCTAGAAGAGTCCTACCCTTAATCTCTTCGAGGCCACTATGAGTTTCCATAGCACTTTACAAAAGATCTTTATTGAGGAAAAGATTGGACAAACTTTCCTTATATGTGTGGCCCACACCATTAATTGCCCCATCTCCTTTAGTAAGGCCTTATTCCTATGTAAATACCCTTGCATAATGTTACAGGCTATTGTTAGGCCAGCGCCAGTCAGTCGCCACTTATATGCATTTTTACTTCAATCCGCTGCTCAGAGAATGAAAAGATGTCTGGACTTAAGCTGTTTACCAACTGGGCCGAAGCTGCAGAGCGGCAAAACTGAAGAAAGCCTCAAGCAACTGCAGGAACAAGCTTTTACAATGCGAGCAGCCATTTTCAGTTGAGTTATTAACCCACCCTGAAACTCTTCTAAGCTATGCCTTTTTTAAAGAACAAATGTGCTGAATCAAACATGAATGAGCCAGAACTATGAAGAGAGAAATCCTCTAAAGAACTATTGAACACAACATAGGTTTGGAATCATTTTGTCTCAGTTGCCTGCTACCAGCATTATCAAGGATGATAATGCCGGCTCAGTTGAGGCAATTGTCTTGTAATTAAAGAATAGTGCGGTACAGTAAAAACACACATGCAAGTGACACACACTCCGAGTCAGAAAACCGTGTGCAAGAGACGAGAAGGCTGAGTTAATAGCTCACCACTAGGATCTTACATTAATTTGGGTACTAAAACAGTGATCTTTAACGAGAATGTTGGAAAATGCCTCCAAATCCAAGTCTGCCTGATTCTCTCAACCCTATGTGGTGTCAACTGCGCTTAAATTGAAAAAAATAATAATAATTTTTATTGTGTAGTTGTAATGATTCCTTGGCATGACACACCAGGAAAATAAAGGAGCAAAATTCTACCAAAAGGAGCTGTTTTTTTTTTTTTTTCTGTGAAAAATGTGCTACAGGCAAAGATCATTGTATTTATTTAACGGCACCACAATCTGAGTAGTGTGTTATTAGCCTAAAGAAACTCTTGACTATTTGCATGCTTATTAGAATCCAGTGAGTACT